TGTGCATGCCAGGAAAACACTCTAACAATTGAGCTTTACCAGCAGCCCCAGGGGTAAATATCTTTCTCCTGCTGGCGACAGTAAATGTTTGACTGTGTGGTTCAACTTCTACCTCACTGGGTCACTGCAATAGTTAAATCTATGGCATTTGGTCTAGGATCTGTTAGATGGTGAGCACTGTGTAAGTATTGTGTTATTCTTGTTATTTCCATTCTGTGTCCATAAGATCTTGGGACATGAGTCCCGTCATCTTGTCAATTCTCTTCAGACTGTGGGAGTTCTTAGCACCTATTATTTTCAGCTTTGAGCCTGTAGCAACAATTCAGAGACCGAAGTAAAAATCTATTTAGTATCCAATGACACATATTACTGAGAAACAGGGAGATAAATACTGTAAAAAACAGCTAGAAGAGCAGGTAGTGGTGACCTCCAGAGAGCATGTCTGGAGGGGGCAGGTTGGGGCCCTGTGGCAGACTACAGCTCCCGGTTACAAGTCCATTAGCACCGTTTTCAAAAACTAGATCCAGGCAGCACTGTGATGAAAGTTCATTCTTAATTTTTTTTAAGAAGAGAACAGTCTGAAACTATGAAACAGAATTCTATATGTTAATTAGCATCTGTTTTGCTTTGATCACATCTTAAGGATGTCATGATAACTCTGTAAAAATGACAGCACCCAAAGAGAGCACAGAATCAAGACGGCAGAGTTTACACCCAGGGCTGGAAAGACGGCTCAGTGGGTGAAGTGCTTGTCATGCAAGTGTGAGGACCTGAGCTTGGATCTCCAGCACCTGTGTAAGAAAAGGCAGGTGTGGTAATGAGTGCCTATCACCCCAGTGCTGGGAAGCCTGGGACAAGGGAGTCCCTACAGTCATAGGTCAGCCAGTCCAGCGAATCAGCAAGCTAGCTATAACTTCAATGAGAGAACTTGTTTCAGAAAATAATGATTTGGGGGGGGGTCTAAATTTGATCAAAATATATTGTAATAAATTCACAAAAGTTCAAAGAAAAAAACTGAATTTATTATTTCAAAAGTAAATATATTGAGTAGGGCATGGTGGCACATACCTTGAATCCTAGCACTCAGGAGGCAGAGGCAGGCAGATCTCTATGAGCTCAAGGCCAGCCTGGCCTACATAGTGAGTTCCAAACCAGCTGGGACTATGGGGAAACCCTGTCTCAAAAAATAAAATAAATGCATTGCTTGTTTGGAAAAATAATAATAATAATCATCATCATCATCATCATCGTCATCATCTAGACAATGATTGAGGAAAACATGTGTTATTGACCTCTGGCCTCCACATGCATTCACCCCCAAGTTCACATGTACTCATACCCATATGTACACATGTGCATATATACATGCACACACATGCATCTATCCCACACAGGTGCACACATGTGCATACACACGCAGCCACCCACACATGCATACACATGCACCTAGGCGAGCACAAACACAGATACACATACATACTAAAAAGGAAGTGTACAGAATCCAAGTAATTCTTCTATTCCCGTTTGGTTTCTTTCCAAGCAAAAGGAAAACATATCATAATTTTAGCTAAAGAAAGTTCTCTAAAACTAAACTTTCAGTAGCTCTGCACTATACTTCTTGGTTTGCTTTCTTATGAAATCAGAGTTAGTTACATGTACAGCAGTGAATTTTTTTCAAACTGTTCACTGCCCCATGAGTTACCTCCACCTTCTTGGCAGCGATTTCCCAGCATGTAGTCGCAGCTACACTGCCCACACCTGGGAGTCCGGCTATTGGGGAACAAGGTGAACATATTCTCTATCAGGGAGCTGCTGTGACCTTCAGAGATAGCCATTCGGAGTGACTTGCTCAATAATATTTTATTAAACGTGCATGTGCAAATCAGGGGTTTATTAATGCGAACACAAGACAGAGTTACAGGCAGTTTTCAGCTCTTATCTTTTGCAGGTCAGCTAGAGGAATGATTCCCACTAACGTAAACAATATTGCCATGGGCTGGAGAGATGACTCAGCACTGGCTGCTCTTGCAGAGGACCTGTGTTCAGTTCCTAGCATCCACATGACAACTGACAACTGTCAGTAACTCCAGTTCCAGGGGATCTAACACTCTCTTCTGGCCACCATGGGTATTGCATGACACGGGTGCATTTATATATATGCAGGCAAAGCACTCATACATGTAAAAAATTAAATAAATAATAAATAAATAAATAAATAATAAAATTTTTCTTTAATTAAAAATTAATGAAATTCCAGACAACATTGTCAGGGCAGCTAGTTTAGCAGGGATGGAGAAGCATCCACCCTGCTCAAACCTCAGAGCACCTTTCTCCTCAGGGCTCAGATCTGACCATTAAGTCCCAGTTATGAAATAGATTTCTGTGTTCTATCCATCTCACCAGCACTGGGATTAGAATCATGAGCCGCCACACCTGGCTGTCTACATGGGCTCTGGGGAAGGAACTCAGGTCTTCATGCTTACAAGGCAAGCACTTCACCAACTGGGCCATCTCTCCAGCCCTAGACCTTTTAACAAACTGCTTCAGATTTGGTACAATAGACACATCATACAAATTCCACCTCCTGAGCCTAACATTACTTAGTCCTCTATGACTTGACATGAACCTGATATTCTAGTCCAATCCCTGACACAGATCTGTCTGACCTCCCCCTGAGGAAAAATTAACCTAATGTGGAACTAATGAACTATGGCCTCAGTGTAACTCTGACTGTGTGATAAATAAACACTAACAAATGTAGAAGTAACACTTAGGACTTTGGAAGCTTCCACTTCTACTCAAATCACAAAGGCCACACTGAGCTCAGTCTCAGGCTGAGGTAAGACAAGGCAGACAAACACAACCCACATTCTTGTGATCTTAAGGACACATCTGCTTACAACATGTTGTGTTTGTTAAAATGAGATTGTACTGACATCAGCAATATATCATGTTACCAGGAATGTCACAACCCTTGCCCACACTTGCCTAAAATATCTGCTTTTGTAAAATGCTGACCATTTAAATTTCCTGTAATAACCTAAGGGGCATTTATACATCTTTGTTGAATGTCTCAAATCCACCAGTATGATTACTGCCAAAGGATGATGTGAAAAAGCCTATGAAAAGCCAGCATGTACTTCTGGCTGGAGCCCTAGTTCCTCTGGAGCAGGTTAGCTCAGACTGAGACCCACATGTAATAAAGAATAAACTTCCTCCACTTTCTGATTATAGCTTGAGTCTTCTCACTGTGCTAGGTCAGTCTTGGGTTAATTCCAGTAACACCCCTACCTTTATTTTCTCTAATTAGTTGGATCATTGATTTATATATTGCCTTCCTCTATTAGAATTTGTCTCTCATCATCTGTCAATTCAAATTTTATTCTTATTTTCAGTCTACCCAGCTCCTATTTCAGTTCTTCCAATGAAAGTTTTCCTGATTACTTCCATGCAAACAAATCTCTGCTTTATCTCAAAACTTGTGACTATAAAGGGGTCCAGTGAATTTTGTATGTGTGTGTGTATGTGTGTGTGTATATATATGTATGTATGTTGCATATGTGTGAGAGATGCTATATACAAGGTGATATGGTTAATCTTGATTGTCAACTTGAATTCTGTTATTGTAATAAAATACCATGACCAAGAACAACTTACAGATGAAAGCATTTATTTTGGCTTATAGGTCCAGAGGGATGAGTCCATTACGGTCAGATGCATCACAGCAGGAAGCTAGCTTATTGCATCTTTCATCCACACACAGGATACAGAGAGAGAAAACAGGAAATGGAGCAAAGCTATGAATCTCAGTGACCCACTTCCTGCAGCATGGCTCTACCTCCTAAAGATTCCATAAACTCTTCAAACAGCAACACCTGCTGGGGACCAAGTGTTTAAATACATGCACCTATGGAGGACATTTCTGATTCAAAACACCATGACTGGATGGAGATTAGTAAAACACACATCTGGATGTGTCTGCAAGGATATCTCCCTTAGATGATTAGCTAAGGCCACCCTGAATAAAAGCAGCACCAACCCATATGCTGGGTATATTAGTTATTTTTCTGTTGCTGTGATAAAATCCTTAACCAAGGCAAATTATAGAAGGAAGAGCTTATTTGGTTTCTAATTCCAGAGGGGTAAGAATCCATTGTGGAGAGGAGACATGGCAGGAGGCAGCTGGAGCAAAATTGCGAGCTCACATCTTCAAACAGGCACAGAAATCAGAGAGAGAAACTAGAAATGGAACAATGTGGCTATGAACCCTCAAAGCCCATCCCTAGTTACATGTTTCCTCCAGCAAGACCATACCTCCTAAAGGTTCCATGACCATCCCAAACAACAGCAACTGACCAAGTGTTCAAATACTTGAGACTACTGGGGGACACTTCATTCAAACCATCACACTAGGGGCCTGGATCAAATAAAGAGGGGAGACAAGAAAACTAGCAAGAAATTCTCTCTCTTCCCACCTCTTTACTTCCTGGCCACTATGATGTGTGACTGCTCTGCTCCACCACACCCTCTCCACCATGATGGACTGACACCTCTGAAAACATGAGCCAAAACAGATTGTTCCAGCCTTAAGTTGTTGATATATTGTCCTGACAACAAAATTCTAAGCTAGAGGGATGGCTCAGCAGTTGAGCACTGGCTACTCTTGCAGAGGATCCAGGTTTGGTTCCCAGCACCCACATGGCAGTTAACAACCGTCCTTAACTCCAGTTCCAGAGGATCCAATGCCCTCTTCTGACCGCCACAAATATTGTACAACACAGGTACACTTACAACATGTAGGCAATGCACTCATACACATAAATATAAAAATATATATTCTTTTTAAAAGTCTAACATCTTTTGCACCTTGCACCCTCTCTATAATTTGTTTTCTATTTTCCTCAGTCTCAGTCTCACAGAGATTCACCTGCCTCTGCCTCCCAAGTGCTGAGTTTAAAGATGGGTGCTACCATATCCAGCTGTTTTGTATTTTCTCTTACCTTTCAGTTCTCCATTTCCCACCTCAGTCTGTAGGCGTTAAAAGTTCACAAGTGGTTCAATTGGATCCTTTTTCCAGAATAGTCCTCAGTTTTGTTGGTCAAATCTACATTCCAGTTGTCTTTGTCTCAGCATCCCAGCTATCCATGTAAGAGGGAAAGTCTCAACACAAGGCCTGACATCCTAGCATCTGGGATCCAGAGGTAGGAGAATAAGAAATTCAAGGTTATTCTTGGCTACATAGGAAGTTCAAGGCCAGACTGGCCTGCATGAGACCTTGTCTCAAAAAATAAAGAAGGGATGGAGAGATGGCTCAACAATTAAGAGCGCTTACTTCCGTTCCAAAGGACCTGAGATTTGTTCCCAGCACATATCTCAGGCAGCTTACAACCACCTGTAACTCCACCTCCAGGAGACCCAATGCCCTCTTCTGGGTTCCATGAGTACTGAACTCATGTGCATAGATACAGATATAGATATAGATATAGATATAGATATAGATATAGATATAGATATAGATAGATATAGAGAGAGAGAGATAACTGAAGATAAACTAAATCAAGCAGGTAGACCCAGACCCTTCATCCATACTGGCTAGCTTTCATAGTGCAGGAGATCTTATGCATGGTAGTGAAGGATAAAAATCATCAGTCTCATCCAACTGTGAACCCCCATGACCTACAATAAAGATTGGCCCAGCAAGCTATGCCCCCTAGTGTAGTATTAACACAAATGTTAAGGAGTAACCAACCACCTTCTGCTTGTATTTAAAGCCTGCTCCACAAGATAGAATTCATACCTGTCACTGGTATTAGGACCAAGAACCTATGACTAGATAGGTCATAGGCCCTAGGGGAGATCTTACTACTAATATTCCACTAAAGGGACATAGTATTAAAAATCACTCCTCACGACAATGCTCTACCCACAGATCAATACATTTCTCAGTCCTTCTCTGAGAAGCTTCTGCTTGCAATAGAACGCAGCTATAAAAGAGTCTCACAACTACTCAGTGTGCAGCAAATAAGAGACTGTAGAGTGTTCAGTCCCAAAAGGGATATCGATGTCACACCCTTAGCCCCAAGGCTCAGAGACCCTCAGAAGGGGACAGAAAGACTGTATGAGCCAGAGGTGCTGGATAAATAAAAAGAAACAGTGCTTTTCAGATAGCAGGGCTTTGGCACATATGAACTCACAGCAACTGTGAAAGCATGCACAAGCTCTACCCAAGATCACCCCAGATAAAAACTCAGCATGGAGAGGGGAGATGGGCAGGGGTCCTACCCCTAGCTGAGGAGCTACTGGCATATGGTGGCTGCCTGGGCAGGAAGAGTCAATCTTCCTTAAGAGTATGACTCTTGCTTAACCACACTCCAAGGCAAGTTTCATAGCCAAGAGAATTTGGGCAACATATTAGGCTCAATAGAGGAAAAAAAATAGAACACAAACTGGTGTGGGTAGGTGGGGGTAGACCTGGGAGAAGCTGGGGGAGGGGGAAATATGATCAAAATATATTGTGTAAAGTTATCAAGGAAGTAATAAAAATATCTTTAATAAAATAAATCTTTATAACAAATAAAAATAAGCCCGGCATGGTGATACACACGTTTAATCACAGTACTCAGGAGGCAGAGGCAGGTGAGATTGAAGCCATCCTGGTCTACATAATGTACTCCTGGCCAGCTGGGGCTATGGGGGGGGACCCTGTCTCAAGAAATAATAAATAAATAATAAAAATGAATAAATAAATGAGATAATACTAGCAAAGAGAATGACCTGGCCTGACTCTTCCCTCTGGATTCATGGAAACTGAACCTTATGAGACAGGGTTTGAAATTCAGCCTATAAAAGATCTTGATATTAACAAAACAGGTGAGGGGCATGTGTGTGATGTGCTACGTAATGTTCAATATTAATTTTGATTTAATGAGATCAATTAAAACAATCTATTCCAATCAGTTCCACAACTGACAAGCTCAGTCATGTGTCTAAATCCATTAACCATTTTGCTTTAAGACTATTTCATTTTCCAGTTTTGTTTTATCTGCCTGCTAGTTTCGTTTTATCTGGACAAATAACAGCTTGATGGCTATATTAGCAATCACACATTATCACATCCTCTGCAATGTCAGGGAGAATTGGCCACTTTAGAGAATATTCAGTAAGCTTAATTGGATAGTTTAGGTAAAAGCTACACTGTATTGACATTACATGCACAGGGGCTGGGGAGATGCCTCAGTGGGTAAAACACTTGCTGTACAAGCATGAGGATCTAAGTTTGGATCCACAGCACCCAATTTTCTGGTCTTTTTGAGACAAGGTCTCCCTGTAGTTCTAAAAGCTTGGTACTGTAGCAGATGCCTATAACCCCAGCTCTGGAAGAACAAAGGCGGACTTGCTGATCAGCCAGGCTAGCTCAAACTACAAGTATTAGTTTCAGTAAAAGACACTGCATGCAATAATAATATATAATATATCAGCCTGCATTAAAGGATGTACCCACTGGTACAATAGTGGCATGCTGGTTATGGTGGTAACCAGCTCTTTTCTGTTTGGATGTAAGGCCTACTCCATAGGAAATAATTCATGCCTGGAACTTCAAATCTACTCAAAAGCTCATGACTGGGGAGATCATAAGCCCTAAGGATGAAGAGAGATCCTACTTATTATTATGCTAAATGTAAAGATGTCAAACTACATTCTAAATAGATTTGTGTTGCTCAAAACTTCAGTCAGCAAAACTTCTTCTTGCAGTGAGTAGTGGTCTATGCAGATTCGTAACTGGTCACAGGGTGAACTGTAAGTAACTGTGACTGCTCAGCTGAGCATGAGTCATCTATATCAACCTCCCCCATTCAAGGCTCAGGAAACATCACGAGAGAGGGGGTGGAAAGAATGTAAGAGTTGGTGGAAGGGAAGAGAGCTGTGAAATGCTAATTTCTGGACATGATGTAGTTGATGAATGTATCAACTTGCAGGATCTGTTCTCTGCACAAGATCAAACCAGTCAACATTCCAGAATTGACAGGGGAGGGGTCCTGTGGCCCTACTCTTGGCAGAGGAGTTACTGGCAATTGATGGTGTCAGAGTCACTCTCTTTCAGGGACATGATGTTAGTAGGTTGCCCATGTCCCAGTGGATAGTCAGACACCAATGCATGCATAGACAGCACTCATTGAACTCAAAAGATGATTAAAAACAATAAAAGAAGGGCATGAAATTGGGAGGAAGCTGGGGTGAGAGGTACTAAGGGTGAGTTGGAGGGACGTAGTGGTGGATGGTTATGACCAAACTATCCTATATAAATTTTCAAAGAATAAATTAAAAGTACCAAAAAAATAAGATGGAGAGTGATACAGAGAGATACATGAAGGAGAACTTGAACCTCCATACACACATGCACTGGCAAGTGCACATATTCAAACACATACAGAGAGAGAGAGAGAGAGAGAGAGAGAGAGAGAGATCACAAGCACAGATAAATCAAGTGACAAATGTCACTTTAACATCCTTGAAAGTGACACTTCTACCTCCCTTTCATTCTGAGCCTGGGGCTGAGGTGGGTTTAACAAACCCTACTGAGAAAGGGACATATTTCTTGGAACACTCCCTTCAGTCCATCACTGACACTTCCTGTTCATCTGATGGTAAAGTTAAAATATTTAGTGGTGGCAGAAGAGTGTTCAGGATGCATTAAATATTGAATGTCTCCCAGGGAGGCCCCAGAGATCTGAACACGCTGAGCTCTCTCCGACGATTAGTTCTTAAATCATTCTGAGCACTTCTGCTCAAGAGGATTTTTCTGGTGCTTTTCTAAGGAGAATATTTAGTGGGAGGCTAGTCTGTGCTTCCATATACCCACAATGGTATTATCAATAATGTCTGGATGGAGGGAAAGGGGTTGGGTGAGGGAGACACCCTTTGAGTCTTGTAAAAGTATCACCAAAGGAACCAGGCAAATTACAAGGACTGGGGAGCAGAGCATTTGGAAGGCCTCAGTCTCAGGAATAAAAGGAGAGAAATTAGTTAACACTAGTGAGACATGCCAGTAATTCCAGCTACTTAGGAGGCAGAAGCAAGAAGATCTCAAGTTCAAGGTCCCCATGGGCTACAGTGTGAGCCTCCTAGACTGAGAAACTTAGTGAGAGTCTGTCTCAAATTATTTTTTTAAACAAAAAGGAAAAAGAGGGATACAGATGTAGCTTAGTGGTAGAGCCCCTGCACAGACTCTAGAATCCCCCAGTGAGGAGCTGGGGGTGTGGTTCAGTGGTAGAGCACCTGCATAGAATACTCCACTGTGGGGCTTGGGGGTGTGGTTCAGTGGTAGAGTGCCTACCTAGAATTCCTATTTCACAGATGATAAAGGAAGAAAGGAAGAAAAAAACACCAAAATAAACACTTTTTAAAAAAATAATTACATATATATATATATATAT